TGTCGCTCTCTGCTTTTTCTTCCCTGATGAACTAGCCGAAGCCTGGCTGCTGAACTAGCTTTATTACATTTGTATGAAAGCATGCGGCAGCGGCAGCGCAGTCACACCATGGTAATTTTCCTCTAAAAAGCAGCAGGTGTAGACATAGGGAGCCGACACTGGTGTGCAGGAAGCGAGCTCTGCTGGCGGATGGAGCTGCGCTCGCCATGCACTGCTGTGCTCTGGCTGGAGAGAGCACAGGACTCGTATTCACCCGGAACCGGGGACAGCCACAGCAGTGACAGCTGAACATTTGGGTGTTCGCTGTGCAAGCGTGCTTCGTATTGCATATGGGCATCTTTGCAAAAATCACAGAGAATAGGAACCATTTCTTTGCCACTGTCTACTATTAATGAAACTGGTTTAGGGAATTTAAGATCTCGTCTGCTGTGTTGTAAATGTCCTCTTCAAAACTACCATGGGTATTAATGGTATTAAGAGGTAGGACTTTAAGAAATGATTAGGCCATGTAGGATCTGCCCTGAGCCGTGCGATCCACTAATACCCTGATAAAAGGACGAGTTTGATCCCTCTGCCTTTCTGCATTCTGCCATGTGAGGAGCCAGCTTTCTGCCCTCACAGGTGTCATCTTGGAAGACGACAATGGCCTTACCAGGTACCAAAACTGCTGGTACGTTGACCTTAGGTTTCTCAGACTCCAGAATTGTGTTACTAAATTACTGTTTATGCATTACCTAGTCTCAGATCTTTTGTTATAGCAGCACAGAACAGACTGACATACTGTTTGGAATTTAGAGCCCTTAAATTGAGAATAAAAACATAACCCATGGCTGTCTGACTAACTTCAAAACTTGATCATCTTAACCACTAACATATGTTGCATCTCAGTAAGAGACTGAGACACTTTGCACATTTGAAAGGTAAGACAGGAGCTGGCAGGTGGCGTGGTGGTTAAGTGTGCTGGATTCCCACAGGGCTGATCATGGTTCAAGTCCCGGACCTAGCGGCTAGCTTTCTCACTTTCCCTCTCTCTCTCTCACTCACTCTGTTTCTCTCTGGTCAAATTAAAATAAGTAAATAAATAAAATTTAATAAAATATTTTTTTTAAAGTTAGGACATATTTTGAGAGATACACTTCATTATACTTACATTATTATACTCTGTGAGACGGATGTGGAGGGAAGACTATTATTTGTAGTTATTTGTTTATCAAGAGTAATATACCTGGGGAATGAAAAGTCACATTTGTTTCAGAACCAGCTTGTTAATGTAGGCCACCTGTTCAGAATCTGACTTTTGCTTTCATTCTTCAGCTTCACAATTTTAAAAGTTGAGGGCTGACAGGTGGCATGGTAGTTAAGGCATTGGACTCCTACAGGACTGACTGCGGTTCAAGTCCCAGACCCAGCAGCTTGCTTTCCCACCTTCTCTCTCTGTCTCTCTCTGGTCAAATTAAAAAATAATCATAATAAATCAAATTAAATAAAAATAATTCTATTAAAAAATGTTGATCATCTCTCTATTCTGTCCTGTTTTATTTTCACCATACCTACCTTGAGGAAAGCAATGTCAATCATGTGTTCGCATCTTCCTGCATGTGTTTATGAATATATACAAACATGATTACACATACTTTTTAAGCAGTTTCAAATATGCCATCAGCCCTTGCTTCAGATTATTGTCACTATTCTCACTGTGTAAATCACAGAGATTCTTCCCCAAAGGAATTAGTTCACTGCTTTCCTAATATACAAGGAGGGGTTGGCTATTTTAGTCATTAAAGGATCAATGGTTTGAGGCCACAGGTGGCATGATTAAAGCACTGGACTCCCACATGGCCAACTGTGGTTTGAGTCCCACACCTGGTGGCTTGCTTTCCCTCTCTCTCCCTCTCTCTGTCTCTCTTTGGTGTGTGCACATGCCCTATAGCAAATTTAAAAAAAAAACAATAATTAAATTAATCCTTTTTTTAAAAAAGGACCATTGGGTATAGTGATTTTTAATTTTAACTACACATTAGAATCACGTGAAAAAACTCTGAAGTTCTTCAGTAATCCAGTCATACTCTGAATCAATTTCATCAGCTGCCTAAGAGGTATAATCATCTCAGGCATCAGTCTTTCTTCAAAGTTCCCCATCAATGTGCAGTCCAAATGAGAACTACTCCCCGAAAGCTAAGTGGATCAAACTCTGTATCGTCTGTCTAGCCTGACCATCCCAATCAATATTCTCACTAAGGGCTTGTCCGCCAAGATTAAAACAACGAAATAACATAGAATGCATTATTTCCATCCTGGTTTTGACTGTCCTGACCTTACTTGGCCTGCACAAACCAAACTAATTTTGCTAACGATGCAGAAAGAGTCATCAGGCTAGGGATGGTTCCTGCACATTCACTTCTGAGCCTTCTTGCTCTGGAAGTTGGTATCCAGGTCAGTTATCCGAGCATTGCCAAACAGCGGTCTATGTTTCTGAAACTTTCGCTTCTTCGGTCCTGCCGTCTAGTCCGTCTGATGCTGTGTCTAAACTGGCCCAGGAATCTGCTTTTAAGGGACTATCCACGTGAATCTGATGTGAACCAGGTTTGGGAAACACATAACTACTGGTAGAGCAAAGAAAAGTCCACTTAGACATAAAACAAAGCCTTTCCCCAGGAATTTTAACCATATACATGAGTGTTTATAATACTACCTGCCGAATAAATATACTATACTAGATAATATGCTAACCCCAGGAATTTTTAGGGTGTGTGTGTGTAGAGGGAGAAAAAGAGATTGAAATTCTGAGAATAAACTTTGTCTCCTAAACCAAGATATCAGAAAGCTTAAAGGGTAAAGTATCCTCACTCAAAAGGTTAAGGCATCCCAAGAACTCTGGATTTACCCATCCACTGCAGAGTTGTAAGGAACAATGTGATGGCCACAGCGCAGCAGGGAGAGAGCTGTGAACAGTAGGGCCTATTCAAAACCCAGAGCCACTGTGAGGGCAGAAACAGAAATTTTGTCTTTTAATAAGTATAAAAATCAGAATGTACATGAGATAAAAATGAAAGGATACCAGATACCAAGAAAAATAAACATTGTAACTTTTTATTAAGTAAAATACAACCAGCAAAGCATTTAAATGATGAACAGGAGATCACTTTTATTGGTTATAAATGGAGGAATGAAGAGAAAATTATCTTTGCCATGGGAATAAAGAGAAATGCAAACGTGTGGGAGTCAGGTGCAGAGATTTTGACCTTCAGTGAATAATTTTATCATTGTGAGTGACAGTGACGGTAAAACTACTGAAGAAAAATGAAAGACTAAAGTTGCCCTTTTAATCCGTGTGTATTTCAACTGTAGTCGTGTGTGAGAGCTGGTAAACCTTGTTCCCTTAAACTGTGATAAAATAATTACCTGCATTTAAGAATCTGTGTTTAAACATTCTGTTTGTAATTTTTTATTAGTCACATTAGACATCCCGTTGTTCTAAAGTTTCTGTTCGTGCATAAATGAGGAGACTTTACGAAGTTTTTGGGAAAATAGAATACAGTTTTTGATGGTGTAAAATAATTTTGAAATCCCTGCATAGTTTTGTCATAACATGCATTTTGCATGAATTTTTCAAAGACCTCTCCTATGAAACACTTACTAGCTAACAATTTTGAATATGTAGAGGATAACATGCTATTAAATGCTGTGTATAGAGACATTTTAAAAAGACCATCAAAGTGTTCTGACATACAACCAGCTTTGAATTCAGATCATGTCTGTTTTTCAGTAATTCTAAATCTCTGGTCTAGCAAAATCAACATGGAAAATTAAGTCACTATTCCTTTTAATCTATATCTTTCTATCAATTATATGTGGAAAATGGAAAACTGTATTCTTTACCACTATTCTGAAATAAATAAATTTGCTCTATAAAAACTCTATAAAAACTCTTGAACTCTACATTTCTAATATTTAACATTCAGAATGTCAGAGATAGGGACAAATCCTAACATATTTCTGGAAAGTTTTTTTAAAAAATGGTTCTATATCTTAATGTCTACAGAAATTGTATTAGAAATTTTCTGAAGGAAATAAAATACTGAGTGTAACAGAATAAACTTTTTTTTTTTTTTT